TGATTATCATCTTCATAGAGTTATGGACTAGGTTACATTGGTTTGATTCACCTAGTCTGATATATTATGTACATCAGATAAATTTGTTCTTTAATCTATATGACTTGTTTTCTTAAGTAGGTTTCTTAGGAAAAGAAAATCTTACAGTGGAGTGCTACAAGTAAGTGCTTATTGGGATGCAATAAGTGATTTCTTTAATGGTGTAGAAGTGTACTGCATGTGGTATTGTGATTGTAAAACTTATGACATTACAGATTAGTGAAAAATCTCATTCGAATTGATTGGGGACTGAATGTAAATCATAAGTGGATGTGGTTGAATTAATATAAATTGGTTGTTCATTTTTCTCTATTCCTACACCTGTCTTTACATTCTTCCAAATCTGATTATATGATTGATGTTGTATGATATGAAATATGAGCATTGCATATAAGACTAATCGAAATTGAATTTGCATGTAAGTTCAACATCATACCCTATATACAATTTATATATCAATATACTTCTTTGGAAAGTTTCAGAAAATTTTTTTCAAAACCAAAAAGATTCAAAAATAAATTTTAATAACAAATTCACCCCCCTCTTGGTTAAGCCATATTTTCTAACACATGTCAACACAACAAAATACCTCAACATGACATCAACAAATTTGAAAGACAAACAACTCAAGCATATCAATGCTTACACCACACCAATGCCATTCAAAAATATAATTACCAAAGCATATGAACAACACCGACCCACATCACATCATATGCATACACCTCAACTAATGCGTCATCACACATTCACTTACAAAGATCTCTTACAATAGGATGAATAATTTAAGTGGTTTGACCCTATCAAACCAACATGACCTTTTTACACCTGCTAGGTTAGCATCCAAATTGGGATACCAATCCCTAACAACATGATTTCTCTTATGTCGTTACTTAAACTATGAAGTCTAGTATTCTTGACAAGGTAGAACAGATTAGATATGAGATTATCACAACATTAGCTTGCAAAACTATGCCTACTATGAAATTAGCCAACCAACTACCCTTCAAATAGTATGTCATTCCAATACTTAGTTAGGAACTAAGTCCCTGGCCTCATACTTTACTCATTTGGTCTCTTTATACATGTATGCATCGATCTCTCTCACATTCAGATCAATGATGGTCACTTGTAATCAGTATAGTTCGACGTTATCCATATACTATGGTCACTTATATCTGGTGTGTCTCGACCTGGCTCACATATACTGTATCAAATAAGGTCCTAGAGGAGACTTAACCTTCCATTTCAAGAGATAACACCTACTCAAGGAGGGTTTTTCAATAACTAAGCTCGTAGAACACCACAACAATATCCACATAATGAGATATCCAACTTTTGAAAATAACATTTCCTTTGGTCCTAAGTCAATCAACATGCTTAAATGCCTATAACATTCTCAGCATCACAACTAAATAATATACATATATCATCCCAAATTAATATACATAGACTATAGTTTCATATCAACCCTAATCCTTAATTATCCAACGCATAACAAAGTTTAATTTGTCATCTCAAATCCACTAAAATCACATTAGTTATCATCATACTAAAACATAAATCATATAATATCAGTTATTTCATCAAACACATACCATTACAAATCATAAGGAGGCTTAAGGATACTACTCATGCCCCTTGTACTTATGTACCCACAATATAAGACATTCTTAGTACCTTTCTTATCTCAAATGATGATCTCTAAGGCAACAAGCATGATCCTTGGAATCCAAAGTTATCTTACGCATTTCTTGGATTGTCCTCTAGAGTTTTCTTTGTGGACACTCTTTAGATTTCAGAAAAAACTTATGCATATGACTTAACACGTATTTCTCTCTCTTATTTAAAAGACTTTGGATTGGACTCTAAAGTCCAAATCTAAATGTTAACCCACAAACACATATTCTATCTCTATTTTATTTTAATTAATAAAAACATCTTTTAACTTTTATCATAAACCTAATTAATTAATTAATTAATTAAATGATATAAATATTATTTAAATGCTTTATCATATTTAATTAATTTTCAAAACAATAAGTATCATGTTAAAAAAACCTTTACAAAAGTTCTATATTTGGATAGAAATGACTTTTTCAATGCCTTTATATTCGTTTTGCATGATATCATATATTTCTTCCACCTTTTTATAACAAGAATTCTTGTATAAACGTCTTAATTTGCTCAATCTTTGTTGAATATAGTGAAGGGTAATCATATCTTTCTTCACAATTTCTTTATATTGATTCAATTGATTCTCTTGTAAAGCCATTGGTTGTGGTTGTTATTGAGATCCTTCTTCTACAAAATCCCGAATTCTAAGAAGTTTCTTCTACAATATCCAAAAAATCTAAGTAAGCAAAATAAAAATCTTCATTTAATCACTCGAATAGTCATAGTATTCACAAAGATGCGTATTTGACTCTTGAAATATTGAAAGAGATTGGGGCCATAATTAATATTCTAATAGTCAGGACCGACTCAACATATTTTGAAGTTTAAAATGAGTTTTGAAGTTGAATCTTTTTAAAGATGAGAGAATGAAAAAAATCAATAATCACCCATAAAAAAAGAAATTTTCAACAAAAAAATTACAATATTAAAATTTATAAACTAATTATGGTCACACCACTATTAGAAATTCTAAAAGGTAAATGAAAATAGATACAAAATTTTAGAGGAAGGACACAAAAAGAAAATACCTGAAATATTTTTTTCTTCTGATTATGGAAGTATAACTCAGTTAAATAATAAATGCAGTTTATAATTTAAATATTAATCAGTGAGGTCCCCTGTTAAAAAGAATGAATTAATTGTTATAAACTTTGTTTAATTTCCACAGATAAAAAAATTAGTGAAATGCATTATTTTTATAAAATAGTGTTGTATCATCGACAACTAAACACCGGAAATTTTAAATTAATTTCTAACACCTCTCCTAAAATAACCCAAAAGGTACTTTGTATTTTTTTCTCAATAAATAATAATAATAATAATAAAATTTAAACTTAAAATCTTACACATACTATTTAAATCCAACACTACTATCATCACTCAGCTTAATTATGTCGTGGTTCATAAATTACTTGCTCTAATCATTGGTAAGCCTTGCACATATTATATCTTATGAATTTATTAACAATATTAATTAGGTCATGCAATATATCTTATGGATATGTTTTAATTTTATGTCCTATTAAAAGCATCAAATAATAACCTGCGTAAATAATATTTTTGGATGTAAGCAGGTAAGTAAAATACAGCTCGAAACAACAATTTTTTTTAAAAGAAATAATTTCAGCAACCACTAAACTGTTCTTTCAATAATATCAAACGGGTTCAAGTATATTATACAACTTTACTTTCTTTTGATGTACAAAATATAACTAGTGAAACTAAATATAAATTGAATTTAGTGCTATTTGTTGTAAGAGATCACAAATATATGTACATATTTATAGAGGGTGATTGGGAGAGATTAAATCCATTTATTTTAGCTGTTTTTTTTAATTGAAAAAAATGCTATCTGTAAAAGGAAACTGTGTTTAGAATAATAGTTTAAATTCGTAAACAACTTATGTTTTAGAAAAATAAGTTATTTTTATAAAGATGAAAATTGGAAAATTATGATTATTTCTCAAAAGTTTTTTTTAAACTAATTTACTATATCAAAAAAATGATTTTTTTTTTCTGTAATCAAACAAAATTAAATATTTTAAAATTGTTTTTCATCTAACTTATCAATTTTTTTTCATTTTGATTATAATCGATTATACAAATAATCAATTATTAAAATAATTTATTTTTACATTTTTCTCAAATACACCCTATATAATAATTTGTGATTAAATGACATTGTAACAAAATTTTGGCTTAAATATGTTTATACTCTTTGCAAAATAAGCGAGTTTTGATGTTGGTTCTTGTAAATTTTTTATTTGTTTTTCATATCCTTCTAAAATCTTAAACTATGTTTTTAGTCTATATTATTAAGTGATCTTTTTTAAGTACTTATTTGTTTATTAGACAATTAAACTACCATATAAAAACTTACAATTGTCTGTAATACTTTCTTAATGTACGACTCCTTTAAAACTTTTTATAGATCTTTATAACCTTAAAATGCAATAGGGACAAAAAATATAACTTTCAATTTTAAAGGGATGAAAAATAAATTTTTTTTTTCAGAAATCAAAATCAAAATTTATTTATTTTACAAGGATTAAAAATAATATTTATAAATTTTAAAAAAATAAATTTTTTTTACAATAATCAAAATCAAAACTCCTTCATTTTTACCGAACTTAAAATATATTTAAACAAAATATTTTACATTATCATAACAGCCTATTTTCATATGAAAATAAGTATTTTTTATAACTACTAATCCACAGGTCGGATTATACCTAACTGAAACTTCATACCTAAAAAAAATAAAAATCCACAAGTCGGATCTTTCAAACCGGTCGTGCTGTCTGTAGCCAGATCTGAACCGTTAAGTTAATCCAGCGACTAACGAAATTTACCCAGATAATTGTTGGAGTAATCCAACGGCCAAGTAGAGGGCATGACAATTGCAGAGGATCTGAGTTTATGAACAAGCTCATAATATTAAAGAGAATATAGCAATATATAGGCAAGATAGAAAGATTCACCAGAAATTAAATATATATCTCGAAATTTTGAAATAAATAAAAATTTTCAACTAAGTCTTGCCATCGTTTTGGAATTTTTTTTTGAATATTTCATTTAATAAAAGAAAAATGAATTTTTTTTATATTATGTGTATCTCTAGAATTCTATCTTTATTGGGTATTTCTTTATGGTCCGTTTTTTTGTTAATTTCTATTTTACCATTCAAATGAAACAATAATGTCATGTTCGTTGAAATTTAAAACGTGAAAAATGAGTTTAGTTGGTGAAGTACATGTTAATCACTCATAATTTCCTTCATAAGCTTAACCCAACTCAAGAATCCATATACTAAAATCTGATAGTATTGTTGATCCTTTTATTCTGGAACCATGGTATCCATCAAAATTCTAGCATTCTGGCGGTTACTTTTCTCCTTTCTCTTGGTCTTTCTAACATATTCTTCACCCCAAGTGGCTTTTTTTCCTAGAATGGTTTCTGCTGCCAGCACAGTTACTGTAGCTGTGAACAGTGAAGCAGAGGCACTGTTGAAGTGGAAAGACAGCCTTTACATGCCCACCAATGATCTTTTGTCAACATGGAGCGGTAATAGTCCTTGCAAATGGGAAGGAATTCAGTGTGACAAATCCAACTCTGTCTCCACCATAAAACTTGCAAATTATGGACTCAAAGGTACACTCCACACTCTCAACTTCTCCTCATTCCCCAACCTCCTCACCCTAGATATCAACAACAACTCCTTTTATGGAACCATTCCCCCACAAATTGGTTACATATTCAAAGTTCACACTTTCAACTTCTCTGTAAATTCATTTAATGGTTCCATCCCTCAAGAAATGTGGACATTAAGGAGTTTACGTAGCCTAGATCTTTCCATATGTTATCTAAGTGGAGCGATTCCTAATTCCATAGCAAACTTGTCCAACCTGTTATATCTAGATTTAGGTAGCAACAGTTTTTCTTGTCACATTCCTCCAGATATTGGAAAGTTGAACAAGTTGAAGCATCTAGTTCTTGCTGATAGTAAGCTTTTCGGTTCCATTCCTAAAGAAATTGGAATGTTGACAAGCCTCCGATATATTGATCTGTCAAGAAATTCTCTCTCTGGTACTATCCCTAAAACGATAGGTAACTTGAGTAGTTTAAACATACTTTCCCTTTCCGAAAACTCCCTGTCTGGACCAATCCCAAACTCCTTATGGAATCTGTCAAGCTTGAACTTGTTATACCTTAATATCAATAGGCTTTCTGGATCAATCTCCACTTCCATACAAAACTTGGTTAGTTTAGAAGTACTTTTACTTCGTGACAACCAACTTTCGGGATTCATTCCTTACACCATTGGAAACTTGACAAATCTCACCTATTTGTATTTAGGCTTTAACAAACTTTCAGGGTCAATTCCTCCTTCTATAGGAAATTTGGTCAATTTGCAGGCACTTAGTTTCCAAAAAAACAATCTCTCTGGAACAATTCCCGCAACAATAGGAAATTTGAAAAGCCTCACCATTTTAGAATTGTCTACCAACAAATTTTATGGAAGCATTCCACAAGTCTTGTATAACAATACCGAATGGTATTCCCTGTTACTGTCTGAGAATGATTTCACAGGCCATTTACCACCTCAAATTTGCTCTGCTGGGAACCTAAGGTACTTTAATGTTCAACACAATCGTTTCACGGGACAAGTGCCAAGTAGCTTAAAAAATTGCTCTAGTATTGCTAGACTCAGGCTGGAAGGAAACCAATTGGAAGGAGATATAGCACAAGACTTTGGTGTCTATCCAAATTTGGAATACATTGATTTGAGTGACAATAAGTTTTATGGCCAAATTTCACCAAACTGGGGGAAGTGCCCCAATCTTGGTAGCTTGATGATATCCAACAATAATCTCTCTGGTGGTATACCAATTGAGCTTTCTGAGGCAACTAAGTTAGGCAGGTTACACCTTTCTCTGAATCACTTGACTGGAAAGCTACCAAAAGAGCTAAGTAAGCTAAAATCATTAGTTGAATTGAAGATCAACAACAATCATCTTTCAGGAAACATTCCCACTGAAATAGGATTGTTGCAGAATCTTCAAATCTTGGATCTTGGGAAAAACAAGTTGAGTGGCACAATACCAAAACAAGCTATAACGTTGCCCAATTTAATAAAATTGAATTTGAGCAATAATAAAATAAATGGAAGGATTCCCCTTGAGTTTAGCCAATTACAATCACTTCAAACACTTGATCTTAGTGGGAATTTGTTGAATGGAACAATACCAGGAGTGCTCGGAGAGTTGAAGCTATTGCAATGGTTAGATCTCTCTCACAATAATCTTTCTGGAAGTATTCCTTCCAGTTTTGATCACACGTCAAGTTTGATTTCGGTGAACATATCATACAACGAGTTAGAAGGGCCACTTCCAAATAATCAAGCCTTTCTGAAGGCTTCCATTGAATCGTTGAAAAATAACAAAGGCTTATGTGGCAATGTTACTGGCTTGATGATTTGCGCAACCAACCATATTCAAAAAAGGCACAAGGTTAATCTACTGATATTATTTCTTATCTTGGGTGCTCTTATGCTATTTTTGTGTGGGGTGGCTGTTTCAATGTATATTCTTTGTCGAAAAGCAAAGAAGAAAGAAACCCATGCTAAAGAAAAAGAAGAGGCTGGAGAAGTGTTTTCCATATGGGGTCATGATGGAAAAATTATGTTCGAAAAAATCATTCAAGCTACCAATAACTTCGATGACAAAAATCTCATTGGAGTCGGAAGGCAAGGATATGTTTACAGGGCTGAGTTTCCTTTAGGTCAGGTTTATGCAGTGAAGAAACTTCATTTGGAAACAGATGGAGAGAAACCCAATTTTAAAGCTTTTGAAAATGAAATTCGAGCTTTGACTGAAATCAAGCACCGTAACATTATTAAGCTCTATGGATTTTGCTCACATCCACAGGTTTCATTTTTGATTTATAAGTTCTTGGAAGGGGGTAACTTGGATCAAATACTGAGCAATGACACAAAAGCAACTGCATTTGATTGGGAAATGAGGGTGAATGCTATTAAAGGTGTGGCCAATGCTTTATCCTATATGCATCATGGTTGTTCGCCTCCAATAATTCATCGTGACATATCAAGCAAGAATGTTCTTTTGGATTTACAATATGAAGCTTATGTTTCTGATTTTGGGACAGCTAAGATTCTAAAGCCTGGTTCACACACTTGGACCTCATTTGCAGGCACCTTTGGGTATGCAGCTCCAGGTTGGGACCCTTTTCATCATTCCTACATTCTTAGAAATATAGACAAAAATTATCACATTTTTGCGATTACTTTACACCACTTTTATCTTCAATTTTCGTTTAAACACTGTTTACTTGTAGAGGAATTAGACTAATCCCTAAGTAAGAATTTGTGTGAAAAAATTGAAGTAAAAATATATATATGTGACAATACAAAATCCATTTAGAACATATAAGTTATTGAACTTGTATCTTATACAAAAACCTATAGTTTAGGTGTAACTTCAAATTTGAATTTATTGTAGAGCTTGCCCAGACTATGGAAGTGACCGAGAAATGTGATGTATTCAGTTTTGGTGTGCTTTCTCTAGAAATCATGATGGGAAAGCATCCAGGAGATCTTATTTCTTCATTGTTGTATTCATCTTCATCAACAGTAGCATATAATTTGCTACTAATTGATGTGTTAGACCAAAGACCACCTCAACCTCTAAGATCAATTTTTGGAGATATCATTTTGGTTGCAAGCATGGCATTTTCTTGCTTGAGAGAAAATCCATGTTCTCGCCCAACCATGAATCAAGTGGCGAAAAACCTAATGATGGAGAAATCACCCATAGCAAAACAGTTGCCTGTGATTAAACTTGGACAACTCCTCTAAAGCACTAAAGCACTTAAATATTTTTTATTTTCTTGTTCATAAACCATTTATCCTTTAGATTATGTTGCAAGATTGTTTGTTTTGTATTGTAACGAGATTTATATATAAATTATTTATTATTAATTAATATACATATTATATATGCAAATATATCCTTTTGAATTTCTTATAAAATAATATAGTGCTGGCACTTATGTGTTTTTGTGTGAAATGATTAATTTAATAATTAATGTAAAATAACATTTGCTAGTAAAAATGATTTTTTTATTTTTTTATTTAGTTAAATTATACTTTTGTCCCTCTATTTTAAAATAGATATTAATTATTTTAACTTTAAAAATATAAAATTTTGACTCTCTTGTTAAATTGATATTTATTAATTGTTAAATTTTAATGTTTATTCATAGTTAATTAATGTGACTTTTAAGGACATGAAAAAAAAATTAAATAAGATTTTTTTTAATAAAATAAATATTAATTATTTGTTAAAATATATACAAGTAAATTTTTTTTGTTATTTTTAAATTTTTAACTTTACATGTCACATCGTTAAATATACGTCACTTAAGAGGTGACATGTGATTGAATGTTAAAATTTATCTATTAAATAACATCAAATTGATTGTATAATCAAAATTTTTATTATTACAAATAAAAAGATTAAATATATCTATTTTAAAATTAAAAAAAAATCAAAATTGTAGATTAACAAAATAGAAGGACCGAATATACAATTAAATTTTTTTTAAATAAGTCTTTGTCATGATAAAATATAAATTAAAAATAATTTAAATATAATTACATGGAAATAACTCTAAACTTGCTTTTTTATCAACAATTTATAGATTTTAAAAACTTTTTTTTAATCTTTTATCTCGCACTCTTTTATTATATTCATACCTAATTCTTTATTTATTTATTTATTTTGTTGTTTATATCGAATGTAAAATAGAATAAAATGAAAAGATGGATAGAAATTAAAGATAGAATATATGAAAAAGAAAAAGAGTAGTTACTAAGTGAAGTAAATAATTGAATTTATAAATATATTATCTAAAATAATTTCTTTTATTATATGTTATAGATGTTGTGGTTCTTATTATTTTTATCAACATCTTATAGGTCAGGATTTAGAGTTAGTGTCAGCATAAAACTTTTGCAAGGCAACTGGATTTCCATTTTTGCTGAGCTCTTCATATATTCACCAACTTAATCAAACACAATTACCATATGTTTTGATCCCTTTTTATCTTTAATGTTAGACATGATGCAACTCAACTTAAACTCTCAAGCAAAGAACTTTCGCACAACACACTCAAAAAAGGATCGGTGTTTTACCTCTTTATGCAATCCAACTTGTGAGACGGGGGTTGAGCCCATTTTCCAAGCTTTTTAAGTAAAGTGGGGTTGTTTTAAAACTTTATTATGCAAATGAGGCTGTTTTGAAAGTATTTACGTTTTTGAAGCTGTTTACAATGGTGTCGCTATGGGCCATAGCGACACCAGTGATACGTGGCATTTTTTTTACTCCAGGTAAGCCATGAAAGTCATATTACTAATGTCGCTACAGCCTATGCGACACAAAACGGCTCCAATAAAGTCGCTATAGCCTACACCACCCCATTTTCAATATAAAATAATAAATTTTAAAAAAAATAAGTAAACATTTTTAAAAAATACGAAATTGTTAAAGTGGCGCTGTGGCCTATAGCAACACTACGTCGCTATAAGCTATAACGCCACCGGTTAGAAAAATAAAAAACATAAAAACCAAAAAAAAATATTAAAAATAAAAATAAAATACAGAAAACATAAATATATAAATATAAATTATAAGAACTTAATAAAATAAATTAAAATCTGGAAAAAAGAAATTAAGTAAATAAAAACAAAAAAAAACGTAAAAAATGGTGGCGCTATGTCGCTATAGGCCATAGTGCCACTGTTATAAATATTTAAATACATATTTAATTCGTAATATAAATAATTAAAGAAAAAAATATATATAAAGTAAACAAATTACATAAAAAATAAGTTTATAAATAGAAATTAATATTTAATTAGTAATATGAAAGAAAATATGTTTAAAAATAATTTAGTTAATATGTAAAAAAAATAGAAAAACAAAGTGGCGCTATAAGTCATAGCGCCACTTTGCTAAATAATTAAATACATATTTAATTCGTAATGTAAATATTTAGAGGAAAAAAATATATATAAAGTAACCAAATTACATAAAAAAAAATAAGTTTATAAATAGAAATTAATATTTAATTGGTAATATATAAAAAAAAAATTAAAATAATTTAGTTAATATTTTAAAAAAAAATGAAAAATATAGTGGCGTTATGGCCTATAACGACACAGCGTCGCTATAGCCCATAGCGACACTAGTGGTGGTTGAAAGAATTTATTAACGCTAGTCACGTGTCAAATTACCGCGGATTCACTTAATGATAGCTTGACATATGGCGGTTAACAGTAAAAACAAAAAAAATTTAACCTCTATATAAACCGAAAATCACCTCTGGTCCCCACTCCCCACTCTTTCACCTCTCCTTTTTCACTCAGCCACTTCCGAGAATCAAGCAGTCCCAGGTTTCAAAATTATTTTTTCTGTTAAATTTAATTTTAATTTATTTGTTTATTTTTAAATTGATTGTAACGTTAATTTATTTTAATTATTATTTCAGGTTATTTCTGTTTTTTTAAGGATATTTGCGGAGGTTTTTCTGTTTGAGGTATTTTTAATTTTTTTAGTTTCTGTAGTTTAAATTGTTATATTTATTTTTTTAGTTTCTGTAATTTAATTAGTTATATTATATAATTTTTTTTTCTGTAATTATTATAAAGTCGCTATGGGCTATATCATTTTAAGTAAAATATGTAAAAACTGATTTTATTTAAATTAAACATTTTATAATTTGATTGTGTGTAATTATTTTTTTCTGTAATTATTATAAAGTCGCTATGGGCTATATCATTTTAAATAAATTATGTACCAACAGATTTTATTTAAATTTTATATTTTATAATTTGATTCTGTGTAATTATTTTTTTCTGTAATTATTATAAAGTCGCTATGGGCTATATCATTTTAAATAAATTATGTACCAACAACTTTTATTTAAAATTTAATTTTATAATTTGATTCTTTGTAATTATTTAAGTATATATTTTTTCTGTAATGACTTTGAAGTTGCTGTAGCCTATACCATTATAAATAATTTATTTTAAAAAAAAATTTATATTTAAATGTTAAATTTATTTATTTTAATTTTGTGTAACTTATTTAGTTATATTTATATTTTGTTCGTGTAATAATTCGAAAATAGTTATAGAGTATATAATTATAATTTATTTATTTAATATAAAAATTTATTTAAATTGTTTAATTTTTAACTTGATTTTGTATAATTTAGTTTTATTTATATAATGTTTATAATTTTCTGTAGTGATTTTAAACTTGTTATAAATTAATTTAACAAAAAAATTTATTTAAAAAATAAATTTATTTAAATTTAAAATTGATTTAATTTGATTCTGTGTAATTATTTAGTTATAAGTATTTTTTTTTTGTAATGATTGAGAAGTATGTGTAATTTATTTAGTTATATTTATATTTTTTTCGTGTAATGATTCTAAAATTGTTACAGGCTATATCATTTTAATTTATTTATTTTATATATAATTATTTAAATTGTTTAATTATTAATTTGATTTTGTATAATTTAGTTATATTTAATTTAACAATTAATTATATTTTGAAAATATTTTGTATAATGATTTTAAAGTCGTTATAAATTAATTTAACAATTAATTATATTTTGAAAATTTATTTAAAAATGGATTTTATTTAAATTTAAATTTGATTTAATTTATTTCTGTGTAATGTAATTAGTTACATTTATATTTTTTCCTGTAATGTTTGTAAAGTTGCTATAGGGTATATCATTTTAATTTATTAGTTTAATATATAAATAAATTTAAATTATTTATTTATTAATTTCATTCTGTATAATTTAGTTTAGGTTTATTTTTTATAATGTATGAAATAATGTGTTGTTATATTTTGTTATAGATGACATCATCTTCTACAGCTATGCGTGTGACATATGGACCCATTGAGGATGATTTATTGACATTGCAAAATTTACATGTTTCACAACATGTTTGGAATAGAGAAGATGATAGGAGATTAATAGCACGACGTGCTGCTCCAACGCGTAATGGAATTGACGGAGTTCCATATCAAATAGTTTCGTTATTAGACTAGGCAGGATTTGGATGGATTGCTCGTTTGAGTTATATCAAAGTTAGTCCTGGTTTGTTAACTGCTTTGGTAGAACAATTGAGACTAGAGACACACACATTTCACATGCCATTTGGAGAATGCACAATTACTCTTCAAGATGTTGGTATGCTTGTTGGTCTTCCAGTTGATGGTGAAGCACTGTTAAGTCGAGGCAGTGCTCATATATTGGAATTAGGTACTAAAATAACTATACTTTAAGTTTTTTTTTGTTATACTAATTGTCTTTTATAATATTAATAATCGGTAAATAATTTGTGTTATTTTATGCAGCTCATGATTTTTTAGGTGTTGTTCCACCTCAATCAGAAATTAAAGGACATCGAGTTAAGTTATCTTGGTTGGCAACAAACTTTAATGAGATTGTAGCTTACATAAATGAGCAACATCAGTTGCTTCATTATGCTAGAGCTTGGATACTACGTTTTATAGGTGGACTTCTTTTTCCTGATAGATCTTCAAGCTATGTCTCATTAAGGTGGTTGGCGTTTTTAGGTGGACTTCTTTTGTTTAAGTTTCACATCCTTGAATCGAGCATTAAAATTACTTGCAATGTGCCTAATGCAGTACTTGTGATATGCATTTGGCGGTCTTCAACCAATTGCCTCATTGTCAATGGCTGATTTAATGCTACGATATCGATTAGATATTAAACATATCCCTTCTTTGTTTGTAACATGTAACCGCAAATGAGACAAGAATCACGACCACGCAAGTAATGTTTCTCCTTCAACCACAACAAATGCAAGAGGAAGAACGTTGTTATTACCATCTTGTGTTGTAGCAATGAGCAATGTACCTCGATACTTTCCATATAGATGAGTGCCATCAACTTGTATCAACAGTTTACAAAAATTAAAAGCATCACAACACGGCTTGAATACCAACAAAAAACTCATCATGACATAGATCATAAAATGACCCTGGAGCAATTTCTTTCATGTATTAGAGCCATCGAGGTAAATAAGCATACGATTCTTCCCAATCTCCAAAAATGTTAACAATTGCTTTTTGTTTCGCCATCCAAGCCTTTCTATAAGATATTTTGAACCCAGTTTGAGATGTTATTCTCTCTTGGATAAGGCTAATCTTTATTGATGGATCTTGGTTAACCATTCCTACATATTAAATATTAGTAATCACTAAGATAAATTATTATTAATATAAACTATAAACTTTGCAGAACTTACCTTGTATAAATGTTGCAATTAACTCAGAATCTAACTTATCATGATCTTGGGACAAAGACATGTTCAAACACGTATGACGTCCACCCCACTGAGTCATTTTCCACTTATCAGATCTCTTTGACTCAATGGCTCTCATGTACAATTCACATCCATCATGTGCATTTGGACATCTAACAACCCACTTAGTCTTTTTCGACTCAACCACATAAAATCTTTGATGCATTCTCATTGCATTTTACTTCACTGCATTTTTAACCGCATCTTTATTCTCAAACTCTAACCCCACTTATAAATCTTGGCCAATTGACCAAGTATTACGCAGATCCATCCTTGGGATATCTTCTTCATCGGGAAGATTCCAATTGATGTTAGTGTAGTGGGGTAAATTACCCCAAAATTGACTTCCACCTATTTTAATAATAATGAATTTAGTAATTTCAATAAAATCAATTTCAACAATTTATTTTAAACAAATAACAAATTATTGACAAATTTAATTTTCAGATGTCACCTTCAGTAGATGGATATATTGAAATTGGTTCAACCATTGGACTATTAACAATAACATCCGACTGCACCTCATCATCAGATGGTTCACAATCATCAATTTCATCTTCATTGGATTCATCAATGCTTTCATATGATAATGAAACATGATAGTTTTCATCTGCTTCGTCATCTTCATCTTCGTCTCTTGTAATCAAAGGTGATCGTTCAATTGACAAATTTTCTAATGAAAAAGTTGAAGATTCTTGCATACTTATTTCAGCATATAATTCTATTATTGGCATCACATTCTGGCTCTGAAATGCTTTTATCATGCATTGTACATCATCATCGTCACTCAATTCCAATGAAGCATATATGTTGTTATCACCTTGTGAAACTAAAATTCTGTAACTTACAGATAATATCACTTGATTTGACTTAAGACCAAATTTGTTATGAATCCTTCTCTTTAATATATCCAAAGTTATACCTCGTTTAATATACATTCCTTTTCTTGGTCCATCAATTGTTACACCTTCAGGACCTTCATACATTTTTCCAGTATAAATATAAGCAATGATTTGATCCATAATATCTGCAAAAAAAAAAATAGTACAAAAAGCTACAATTTATATTTTAAGAACAATAAAATTTTACTTACCAATTTCAATTAGAACAAAACGTAACTGGTAGGAGGGGTTTATAAGATTTCAAATGATGACTGAAAATGTGCACAAAACGTGACTGTCGGGAGGGGGTATATATACTGTAATTGGCGCTATGGGCCATAGCGACATAGTGACACTATGACCCATAGCGACATCATTTTTTATTAATTTTCTAATATAAATTCTAATTAATTCAAATAAATCATTAAAACATGAAAATATATTCAATATGAAACGGTGAAAATACAATTAATAAAATATATATTATAATTAATTTATATAATATAAGTTAATAATTATTCTATAAAAAAAAAAAGAAAATAGTGGCGCTATGTCCCATAGCGACACTGTGTCGCTATGGGCTATAAGGCCACTATTTTAACTATTTAATACATAAAAACACATTAAATTAATTGAATCATAAATATATAAAATAATATTTATATTAAACAAATATATAAATAAACTAATTTCAGAAATTTATAATAAAATGTAAATATTTATAAATTAAAAAAAACAAAACTGGTGTCGCTGCCCATAGCGACACTAGTTTTTAATTTTTTTCAATTTTTTTAATTACGTTTTTGTGGCCCAATTTATTTTAATATTTAATTATATTATATTAAAAAATTATATATAAATACTGAAATTATTATATTTAATTATATTAAACAAAATACTGATAATTTAAATTTAATTAAATTTGTTTATTTCTATAAATATTATATTAAAAATATATAAATTAAGTTTTTATAATTAAATGTTAATATTTAACAAATAAATAATTAATAAATGGTGTCGCTGCCCATAGCGACACCTATTTTTCCATTTTTTACGTTTTTATTTTATTTACTTATTTTTTCCATAATTTTTTTTTAAATTTAACATAATATAATATAACTTTATTTTAATTATTCAGTTTGTTTACTTTGAATTAAAAATACAAAAACAAATAATTATAAATAAAACATGATTATTTTGCAAAAATAAAAAATAAAAAATGCAAGGCGCTATGACCCATAGCGACACAGTGTCGTTATGGCCCATAGCGCCTCTCTTAAAAAATACGTAAAATTTATTTTAAAATTACTTTTTTAAAGAACTTAATTTTATTTTTATAAATGTATAATAAATAACTCAGTTTATTATTTTTATTTTACATTTCTATTATTTTCGTTTTTTCCTTTTTCTTTTCTTAGAGGGTGTCGCTATGGGCTACATCATTTTTGTTAATTCATCAACTGCGTTGACCCAGCCTATAGCGACACTGATGTGGCTCATTCCAACCCACCATAGACCAAAAAAAAAAATTACCACGTGTCATGAATGTCGCTATAAGCCATAACGACACCGTTATAAATGACTCCAAAGGCATAATTAGTTACAAAACAGCCCCAATTGTGTAATAAACTTTTAAAAGGACCTCACTTTAGTAAGAAGCCCATTTTCCATTTTTGTGACCACCCTTAAACAAACGCATAACACACTTGAAAAAATATCTTCCATTTGTAATATTATCACCTAACTTAAACAAAAAAATTGATTAAACGAACTAACTATTTTCACACACCACTCCTACAACCGGAACCTTGTATATAGAAATTTCCCCCTCCACAATTTGAAAATAAATTCAAGTTTGAAATTCAAAAATAAGGCAAAAAATTTATAAGACATTTTGATATATGATCAAAAGTAAAGTCATAAAGATTTAAAGTCCAAAATGAAGAATATCATACCAATATAAAAATATGTCTGTGTATGTAAATCTTAAGTATCCAATAATGGTATTTGACCATTAGATCATGGTCCTTTAAAGTAGGGAAGAAATAAAGATGATTACACATCCACATTTACTCATCTTATCTACTTTAGCTTTTATCTTATTCAACAAAGGCAGAATAAAAAGCTTTAGCCAACACTTGATAATTAGGTGTACCCTGTCCCTCAACACCTTCCATAAATCTAACTGCTACATATCTTACAATCCAGAATAATATACTCGCCAAAGCATATCTCCATTGACATTCACTTCGTTTGTGATCTGGTACAACAAGGAAAGCTCCAAGTTCAATATCTTAGCACTTAGCACCACTGATCAACTTGTAAATTGTCTCACCAAAGCTCATCATCACTACCTAATAACAAGATTGGCGTTTCTAATGACACTCCAATTTTGCAGTGGCTTATTAGACAATTATCTCCGGTTAAGGAAATCAAATAAATTTGTTGCAAAAATCCTTATTCTTTGTAACAGGATTAGCACATATATAACCATAATCCTTGCTAACAAATTATATATCTACATATCTCCAGTAAATCAAATAATTTAATTCAAAATTCAATTTCTTACAATAGTCCTTCTAAAAAAAAGTTGGTGTATATTAGAAACTCCACAAACATTTGTTTACAGTTTTTTAGAATGAATAAATTAGTAAGCTACATCTAGATGTATTTAAAAATGAAAAAAAAAATGTAGTTATAACTTGTATACATGAAAAAGCGAATAATGGAACAAATTAAGTAAAAAAAAATAATTAAAAAATACCATAATAATGCTTCAAAACAATATTCTATTATTCATGTACCAAAGAAATAAAAAAGCAAAATTCAAACCAGCCGCAACAACTATTATTATTTTAGTCCAACGTAGTTGTGTCATTAGTCATCAGATACGTTGTCCATGACCTCTTTTTTGGGCCAAATGGGAAGAAACTCTGAACTAGGATCGGTGTAGCTGGTTCTTGGAAAATTTCGAGGACAAATACAAGATTCAAATTCATCTCCAAATTAATATTCTTCCATATTTTAATGAACTCATCTTATGTATCTCTATGATTCAATACAAACCACAAACACTCCCCCACACTCATCGCATAAAGATTATTACACCTACACGCAGGACGCTCCACGTGGCACCTGCTGAAATG